CAAGAAGGCGTGCCTGCTTTTAATTTATTAAGCGTAACAATTTTTGCTAACTGCCAAACCTCCGGAAAATGACAATCTTTTAGCCAGTCATTAAAACACTTCGCTAGACAATCAATATAGCCTGGGGGAAGTAGTTAGATCATAAAATTAGAAATATCGTCGAATCCAGGACATCTACAAACACATAACAGTTACACTATTTTTCAAGAATTCTTATAATCCTATATCAGCTGATTCATTATCGTGTCATATGTTCTAGTATAGTATAGCTTTCATTATACCCATTACTGTAGCATATATTCACTATGAAGTGAATCACGTGACAATTAATTATCTCATACAGACAACGGCAAAGTTCTTCAAAAAGATATGCTCAGTTATAGCTGAACTAAAGTATACATAGAAAACTTAACCTCAGGTGTGTCATCTACAACTGTTGTAGATTTGACTGATCTTTTTCCCGACTCTCTACGATCAGTTATAACCTAGAACTAGTACCTGAATCGAGCGAGAAAAACGTTATAGAAAGAAATAAAGAAAGAAGAATTTTGCTAGGCAACGCTCGAAACTAAATAGAATAAGTCTCCCTATCGTTTCACTCAGTCGACTTAATAAGGACACAAACAAGGATCAGCATCAAGAATCACTATAAAAAAGCCTAGCTTTAATCAGAAAAAGCTTTAAATCACCTGGCAAGGTTCTCTCGTTAGAAGTTTAGTAATTATGCAAATAATAAAGTTCATACTTTTTTTAATGCTTTTTTGAAGATGCTCATGAATTTTTTGGCTTTTGATTGATTTTTCATATCAATTTCTTCATTATCGTCTTCATCATCCAAACCGGTGCTACAAACATTGTCAACGGGAAAATAATCATCCGGATTTATATTCTCAATCAGTTGCATATATCGATCTTGTAACCTAAAAGTTCGAATAAATTAAACAAAAGCTATTAGCAACTAACAAAATATATCTAACTTTAACTTCATACATAAAATTATCAAATAATGATACGTATGTTTTATTTGTTTTCCAATAATATATTAATAATATCCATAATATAATTGCAATAATAAAACTAAAAAAAATAATAATTTCTATTTCTATTGTTAACAACGAACATTTTTGAATTATAAAATATTTCCTCAGTCTTCCTGTACAATAACTAAAATTATACAATGATACCAAGAATAAACATCATTTTGAAAGAAAATAAAGATAAACGTTAGTAATAAATAAACCTTTTTGGTATTTTTCTAATTTGTTGTTTTCCCAGATGACATTCACCTCTAAATGTTTCATATCCAGTTGATTCTTCGCATATGGGACATGCATCTATTGTACGTAAAAGAAAATGAAATGTACAACCATTACATGTACTAGAAGCACAATTTGATGATGATGAATCTGTCGGATATTGTACTTTATATCTTGTTGCATTTTCTATTTGATCATCACATCGTAATGATAAAAATGTAATTCGCTCCTTGCACGCTGATCTTAATCTAAATAGAAACTTACGAATATATTAAGAAAACACTAACATAGACATAAAGTAGCGCGATTACGTACGATGAACCACGAAAAACAAATGTTAGATCTGATATATTATAATCTGTTTTCAAACGTGGAAAACTTTTTAAATCACTCCATAGACTAACATTGACGAGTTCTTCACCAAAACTAAACAAATAGTTAGATGATAAAAATAATTTGTCCTACTATATCATTATGTAGTGAACGTACTCCTCAACAGTGAGAGCAATTGTCAAATTATGTTCTGATGAAATTAATGTTCGACATAATCGTGATTCAATAGATAAACGATTTCTTTTCACTTCCTGCATATAAATATTAAACATGATAGTGAAAAATAAAATAGAAAAGAGAGATGTAAGAGTATATTTTCTCATAGATCATAAACTGATGTGTTGTTTATTATTTACAATGATTTGATAACTATACTTACAGATGTATCATTTACTACACATCTAATGGTACCGGAACCACAGACACTAGCATTAAAAATATGAAAATAACCATAGCCTTCTTGTGAGAACAGTTTTGAATTTTGAAATTCAACGCTAAAAGCAAAAACAATGTTGTCATTTCTTTTTAAAAAAAATTTAGGCTGTTAGTGGATACCAAAACATAAATTTAAATGAAGCCCACCTCGATATTCGAGTTAAATCATAATTAAATTGTGTTCCAAACGTTTGTTTACAATCAATTATGCATGTAACACCGTCATATGAAACAGTATTATGTGGACATTTAGCGCAATATTGCTGTTGATTATCATTGATTTTATCAGATGTTTTATTATGACTGACGATTGTATTATTCTCGCAACGCGTACATGTACCACTTGAAATGATGAAACCAGGTTGACATAGCCTACATCTACAATAGAACAGGACTATTTATTAAGTATTTAATATCATATGATACATTATGTAACGGGTTAGGCAGAGAAAATGACGCCATTTTGCAAAATTTTTCCTTAAGTTAAATTTGATCAGAAAATTTCATTTTTATGTCAAAAAGATAGAGAATTGTGCCTAGATTTTATTTATACGCCCAGGTCGAAAAAAACGGCCCGTTAACGGTCAGTTAACCTCCAGTAAACGGTCACACAAAAACCGGCGCGTTGCCGTAATGAAACCGGCAAAAAAACGCCCAGTAAACAAGCCGTTAACTTGCGATTTTTAGTGTGGCCGTTCACGGTCCAAAGATCGTCTGAAAACGTCCATGGTTCAGAAAACGGTCAGTTAACGGTCACCGTTTACTGACCGTTTGCTGAACGTTTCCAGACTATTTATTATTCACACAGAAGTTCGCCATTAACTGGCCATTAAAGGGCAGTTAACGGACCGTTTTTCACATACATGATTATAGATGCTTTTGACCGTAAATAGGCCGTTAATGGCCAGTTAACGGACCGTTTTTAGGCCTTTTTTAGAACTTTATGCTAGATCAATTTTAGAATGCTTTTTGAATGTTTCATGACACATGAAGTACTTGGGGGTAATTAGAGACACTCTTGAAAATTTTTTTGGGTTTTTGCTATTTCTTGGCCGTTTTTGATCTGAAAAACTTGCGATCATATTGGTTTCACACTACATGGGATATTAATTTAAATATGTTTTATGGACTAAATTAAACTGAGAATTAATTATGATAACTAGAGATTGACAGTTTTTATAAAATCTTCTGTTTATGGCTTACATAAGCATGTTCTCTATCGAATGCAAAAAGAATCATCTGAAAATCGTGTAATCTACGCAAGATCACATCAAATTATCCGACATATGTCCCATTTCAAGGACTCATATACAAGATNGTTCGAGCTTCAGCGAAAATTGCTATAAGTCGCCTATAAAGAATTACTCAGAGTCGCGGAACGTCGCATTTTGTAGAGAAATGTTTCTCTTTGAATACTCGGCTGTGAAAAGAAATCTGAAGCTATTTCTAACAAAAAATGTGAGCATTACAGATAACTTCGAAATATTTCTATGTATAGGCGATTGTAATCTAAACATTTCTCTACAAAATGAGACATTCGGCGACTTTGAGTATTTCTTTTTTCTTTATCGGAGGCTTATAACAATTTTTGTGGAAGTCACAAGTTGAATT